GTCAACCACATGCGACTATAATCAGCTGTTCTAAACTTCCTCATTGGAAGTCACGAAAAAGCGGCTCTGAAGAAGGCGATACTGCCGAAACGCCAGCTAGCGTTGTATTGTATTGTGTTTTTATGGAAGTAAATGTATGCTGTTTAAAAACCTCGCGATTGCTGAACAAGAAAACGACACATTCATGTTTAAGTTTAAATTATATCGGGAGCAAACGCTAGGTAGATAAAGTATTGGTGGTACCAACTAGAAGTTCGACACAGGGTGTTTATTGCCGTTTTTTAAAAATTGTTTACTTTTAACGCTCTGCTATGGTTCTCTTCGCATTGTTTCTCTGTTTGAACGTCAAACTTGAGTCTCCGTTTTTGACTGACTTTTCATCGATAATAAACAAGAAGACCCTAAAGACTAAAGAAAATTAGGAACCTCTTGTAGTTTCCCTCAAAAATCTGAAGGAAATGAATCGGATGATGACGAGAAAAGTGGTAACCATGGTGGTGATGATGGTGCAAACAACGATTAAGAATATATAATATATCGTCTAATATAATATATATAGACAGAAGAATAGACAGAACTGACGATACGCAGATAGAAGAATATTGAGAATGTGTAGAAAGAAGGAAAAACATATAATCATGAGTTTATTCCAAGTCTCTACGCGGACATTGTGGACAGAATGACTCCTGAAGAGCTTTTGGTTCTGATCGTTTATTTTGACCCATTGAACCCTTTCCCTACACTTTCTTTCTTTCGGTAGCCTTATCTAATATAGATGTTATGGTGGGAATCGGCCGGGCAAAGTCTTTTTCTATTTTTGGAAATATACGAAGACGAAGCTTTACTCGAATGTGTTCTCTATTCTTGGCGAACCAACATCAGATGTCGGTTGGGTCCAGGTGCCTCATGGACGCGATTTGTCTCATGCACCATCGTCAAAAATCTCCAGACTTTTTTCATGTACTTTCAGCAGCTAATCGAGGACGTTTACCCTCGTTGTGAATCTTGTGAGGGCGGCTGTCCGAGTACTCTCCCTAGATTCACGGAATAGCAACGCTAAGGCTTTTCCACGTCCATTGTAGGAATGAATTGATCCCAAACGAGTCTGGTACCAATTTCCCGACCCTGGAGGGATGAAAAGTTTGGTGGCCTATAGCGGGGACGAGTTAGTTCTTAGTTGGTTGGGAAAGGTTCGCTTAATGAACAGTATCACTTCCAGTGTTCTGTCCGCGTCGTACGACTTTTCCGTTATTCACCTAGTCATTAGATAGTCTGTGAAATATTGCGACCTGATCAGAGGAGTTTTAACAGGACGGAGATGGGCGCAATATATTTCCATCGTTTTTATAGTAGCCGCTCTTCTGTGTTCAACAGTCACCCTCCTGTGAATAAACCGGCGACTGTTTTGTCACTTCTCATTTGACTATTCGTAATATCAGTCGGTCTTCCTTCTCAAATCTCCGAAAGAAAGAATTCCCACCGAATGATAAGCCTGCTGTACTTATCATCCACTAACAGCATCATCAAGCTTACCATTCCGTATTTTATTTGTACCTGGTGGAGTAGTTTGCCGAATTTCAAAAACGGCAAACTTAAGGAGTGGTCTAACGGAACATTGACACAAGATTCCGTTTATTACTGAACGTGATGCTCCAACTCTTTTACCTAATTCATGTCCACGAGAAGTTCGCCAACTCGATTATATATGTGCCATTTCAATGTGCGGGATGTGGGTGACCAAGCGACACTTTGATGTTTGGTAGATGTGCTGATATAGCAAAGCAACTGAATCAGAATGAAGTTCAAAAAACCATGTTACTTCATCTGCTGACCCTATTAAACGCTGTTGAGTATAACCCTAAATGAACATGACATGTTCGCCTCATGATCATCAATGGAAAGTACTTTCTGCATCTTAGCAAGCAACCAGTAAACGAGACACTTTGATAGTATCCTATGGAGCCGAGAAGTATCCGATAGTTCCAACTGCACTTGCCGATTTGATCGACTCTCTATTGCTTTTAAAACACCTTCCCAGAAGATGGATGATAATGAGAAGCATCACAAATTTCTTTTTATTTTCTTGATATCCAGCCGCCGTGGAAAAGTTCCACACTTTTATCGATAGTTCACAGTCAAATGTTTTGAGCTTACTTACTTGATACTTGAATGGCCCGTCCTCACTAGTTGTGCTGGCCCCAGCATAATCACCATTCCCCGTAAACTTGCTGGCTAAGCCATTGTGGTTTCCTGGAATCTCGAGGACAGCATGGCCAAAGTCTACCCAGGTCGTCACCACGACATGCAGCCGCAACCCTTGTGGATCAGAGGGAGATTTACTACCATGCGACTTTGATACCAGGACGGTGGCGGATCTTGGTATTGGTTTACCCTTAGCTAGGTTTCCTAATGGAAACGCCGGACTCCTTCCCAGCTTTGGAGACCCTTCCGGGGAGACGAATCCTCTGCTGTACATCGCAGCCCGACACTCATGAACACCTCCCAGCCACGATGAGGCGCCAAGCCGTTGGGAAGGTTTTGAGTTCATCAGATCTTAAACCTACCGCATGTTACGATTTTATCCAAGTGTGAAAATGGGCTTTCTATCCTGTTTAGTCGTCAACGTCAATTTTACATTTTTAAGCTTACCATATCCTCCCAACGGTTTACCGCCCCGCTGGGAGATCTTCCTTGGTGTCGGACTGCAATGTACAGCGGGGGATTCATCACCTCCGCATGGTCTCCCAAGCTGAGGCGTTCGGCGTTTCCATCAAGAAGCCTAACTAAGAGTAAACTAAGATCAGAATCGACCACCGTCCTGGAATCAAGGTCGCATGGTGGCAAATCTCCCTCTGATCCACAAGGGCGGCAATTGCCTATCGTAGTGACGACGTGGAGCACACTTTAGCTAGGCTGTCCTCGGGATTCCAGAGAACCACAATGCCTTAACCAGTAAATCTCCGAAAAATGGTGATTATGCTAGGGACCGCAGAACTAGTGAGGACAAACCGTTCAAGTATCAAGTATCAAGTCACCATATCTACTATGCGGGTCCCAGCCTTCTTGCATTCTATTCCCTTCCTTCGCTTTCATAGTCCACGAATGCCTTCCAACTTTTCGTCTGTTTTAGCTTCTGATTGAGGATTTCGTCTTCTTAAGAATGTCATAGAATGCTGGTCGAGTCGATTCTCCTTGCAATCTTAGAGGTAGCCGAGCTAAGACGTTCCAACGTGGATTGGAGAAGAGTGTTGTGGCGGGGATCGAAATAGGACCTCTGCTTTCTGTATGACGACATCACTAGCCACTGCGCTATCCCTGCCCTAATAAAAGGTTAACAAAACAACAGAACAAGAAAATGTTCTTGCCAGTTCTTTATGAATAAACTATATTCTATTTATTTCCATACAGAATATACCAAAATTTTATTGCTAACAATGCAAGTCATATTACATGCGCTCTCTTTAGAATGTCCCCCTCCTGATTTTCATTGCACCAGTTTTTGAAGTTTTCAAAAAAAAGTTTCTTTTCAGACTTAATAAAAGCTCTCCGTGCTTATTGTACGTCCTTGTGAACCAGAACCGAGTCAGAAAAAGAACTTTCTATACAGACATTTATGACATTCGATGAAAAACGAATGGATATGAAGCAATCAATTTATATAACATACATTGACTAAAACACTAAAAACAACGGATGAAGTGCACAAATATCAGGAAAAAACCTTGAAGGAGTAACTGAATGCACGGTCGAGGAAAGATGAGCAAAATATTCCGAAAGGAGTTAGAAAATATAATGATAGATAAGACAAAAATCAGGCTAGAATACGCAACAAAAACAGCACGTTTAGAAAGCACGATAGTACGGTTCACGTGGAGCACAGGTCATCTCTTTGATCAATCATATATGCTTGTACTTTGTGAAAAGAAGATGTAGGAGACGAAGAGTGCTCTGAAAGACATCCTAGTACTAAGTGAGCAAACTTGAGATGGGTAATAAACTTTCGTAACTTGTGAGGTTACGTGGCGCGTCCCCAAGTAACGACAAGAGCGAGAAACGTTGTCCAAGACGGACCATATATATCGGCGGTACCAATGAATTCAACACATTGGCTTATTGCAAACTAGTGGCGGTTTAATGTTTAACATTTGTGTACAAAAGCTTAAATCCGTTAACACGTGTACGATGTCATTATGTGTACCATACCTTGTTCCGAGCGCTGATTCTGACAAAAAAAAAACAACTGAAGAAGAACAAGCATGCTACTAGGGACTGCTCTCCATCTAAAAACTAGATATATGGGACCCCATTCTACTATTCTCAAAAGAGAGCCGTAAGTTAGAAAAAAAAAACTTTTCAATTTTCTCTTCAACTCAGACTTAGTTCTCGGTGAACTAGCCATAGTTATTTTGCCCTTCAACTCTGTCTTCCTCCAGTTTCGTTACCATTTTTGAGCATCGTCTCTGCCTCAAAAGGAGTATACATGTTATAGATCTCCTTCAACTGAGGGATCTCCAACCGCTAATTTCAATAGTACGTAGTAAGACCATGTATAGCAAAATTAGATCAAACGCAGCCCAACAGCGGCCATCTGCGTTCTCCGATGTGGAATTCCTTAAATTGCCTGTATACAAGTAACATTAAGAACAATGTGCATTTACTTGCGGATTTGTGGACTGTACCTTGTACCGTGATTCAACCAAAACCCTACAGTCACATAGTGACTATGTGGAAAGCATCCGGAGCAATCTCAAATAAACAAGCTCTAGCAAATTCGAAGAAGCTATGTATGGGCTTGCCTCAACCTCTCCCACCACAGCTATTTCAGGCGAAGTATTAGAGGGTACTTTCTCATCAAGAGCGATAAAACAGGAAAAACAACATACGTCATATAAAAGGTTTGACGCTTTTAACGTACTTAGCTCGGACTAGTGAAGCCGGTTAGCGTCATTAGTTGCAAAAAGAGAAGCTTTACTGATTATTGCTTGGATCACTCGATAATGTCACATGTAAAATACCTTGAGGTCGCCATTAGCAATATCTTGCACACGACTTCGAGGCTTTGGAAGACCAGCATCGTGCATCAGCTTGAACGAAAATCTAACGTTCTTTATCTTCTCCTCATATGTAGTTACCTTAATTCTATTTTTTATTTAAGCTAGTAATAAAAGTGTCCGAAATTGTCGACGTTTCTTTTCCTGAGCCAACGAAACATATTTTTCCGTTCTTCTTCATTATGGCTTGTTTTTGAACACCGAAGTAATTGAACAATGACGATTTCATAGAAAACGACGTGGTACTGTATCCCAACGTTTCGTTAATGTTTGCGCCTGCTGCTCTTGTTACGAAATTTCTAAAAATTTAAATTCCACTTAAGGCCTAGAAGCGCAGTGGTAGTGATGCCGTTGATTATGTGGAAAGCCCGACCTACCGAAGCGCCGGTTCAATCCGACACTGGCTCCACCATCTTCCCTTAATTTGGGGTTCGCGAAATTGATACCATAATTATTTGGGGACCAGCCCATTCCCTCTAATTCACGTGAGAACGCCCTAGCACTCCAAGTATGCCAGGGAGAACTGATTCATGAGGATGAAAGTGCCCAAGCCTAACCCACAAGCGAAAAGTTCAGCAACCTCCGTAGATGGTGAATGAAAGGAAACGAATAGAATGCGAGAGGTGGTAAGATATGCACACAGTTTGTTATGTTGAGTCATGTAAAGAAGAAAAATTCGCTTACACCTTTTTGTAACCGTTGATTCTAAACGATTTCAGAAATAAAAAAAATTTATCCAAAAAGTCAGTTCCCGGATTTTATGCATAAGAGGAAGCTTTCTTTAGGTAAGTCTGGTACCAATTCCCCAACCTTAAAGCGTTGAGAGGTTTGGTTACAGCAGCACGGAGTCGAAAAAGTGCATTGTGCATACTGAACGTCATCTCTAGACTGCGACTCCAAGACCTTGCCAAGAATAATTTTGGATTATTTTAGTGCACAAAAGTAAGTATTCACTTGAGTGAAGACCGCTATGGACAAACATTCAATAAGCGGTTCTTTGAAGATTTTGATGTGTGAACAATATCCGTTAAGGACTTACTCATGAAACAACATAAAGGAAAGAAGAGTAAAGCTTTAATCTTTTATCTAACACTGTTGGTTGCGCTGTGCATTGAACTCTATTACGCATCGTAGAGATGAATGGAAGCAGATCTCTGGCCTGTAGAATGACCTGCATCGGCAAACCGATATATCAATTTAGTGTTTCCATCCTCGCAATTATTATCCTCCACTTTTTTTCAACATGACCAGACCTGTCGTCACATCTACTTTATGGATCCCAACGCTCCTTGCATTAGATTCTTTCTCTCCTCGCGAACATAGTCCACAAAGGTATTCGAACATTTCGCATGTTGCTTTAGCTGTTGCTTGAGGATTTCGTTTTCTTTATGAATGTCATAGAATGCTGGTAGAGCCGATTCACCTTGCAATGTTGGACATAGCCGAGTTCAGTAGTTCCTATGTCGACCGCAGAAAAGCGTTTGGGAAGGGATCGAACCTTGGTACTTACTTCCTGATGGACTGCATCACTAACTACTGCGTTAATATGGATTAAAATCAATTTGTACCGGCCAATCTATCAGATCGGGCTATAAGTGGTAATTTAGTGAACCCTGACTAAGCAGTACCAAAAAACATTAGAAAAGAACTCACTAAGCATTGTAAAACTTCCCATAAATCATCGAAATTAAGTGTTAACCTGAAGGTGAAAAGCATGAAGTGGTACGAAATATCCTTCGAGAAGACCCATAAGTAGAACGAGGAAAACACCATCTTGGAATTGCGACTCGAGATCAGTTACCTGGAAATCAGTAAAATTATAACGCAATGACACAACTGCAAACATGGTTGCGTCTCAAAAAAAGGACCATATAGAAAAATATCTCCAGAAACCGCACACAAGACAAGAATTAAGCACACCATAAAGAAATTATCTAAAAACTACACACCTCTTTAAAGGAACACTATCACCTTTACAATATAATATTCGCTGTAACAGTTCAGAATGATAAAGACTGATCGGTACTACAGCATTCCTACCACAATTGTTCGAAGTGAATTTCCAAACATAGATATATTACATGAAGAAAAAGGATAAAGTATTCAGTGCTGCTCAATCCCCGAAAGATGAACCATGCATTCGACTTCAATAAGCATCGTTGGAGGTGACTGTATGCACACCTCACCTATACAATGACTTGTGGTGACCTACCGATAGATCGAATCAGTGCTGTTATGTTCCCAGATGAAACTGATAACTATTTGTCGATCCCGAAAGGAAGGAAAGCTTGTTATATAAAAGTACATTACTCGGATAAAGTTGTTGCTAAAACATATAAAAGAAAAAACTACAAATCTTGCATCTTGTAGTGGGCAAACAAGCATTGCAACCAATGCATACTAGTCATTATGTGCTAACGGAAAGATTTATGCTAAACATACCTCAAGGTTGATTTTGTTAAGATGTTTATTGCAGAAGGCGAGCAGTGATGTTTTTACATGAGACAATTTGTCAGGTCCATAGTCGAATAATGTATCAAACGCATCCCTTTCTCCCTAAACAAAGGTTACCTGAGCACTTGATAGCCCCCTGGACATCTATTACTGCCAAAAATTTTAGTTTGGTTAATTAGTAAACCCACATGAAGTTGTTGCAAATTTCTGTTGTGGCCTACAACAAAATACATAGGGAAACCGAATTACAGGACGGAAAACAGGATGAAAAGACATATGCATTCCTTGACAAAATCATTTGGCCCCATATTTATTGAACATAGTGCATAGCGAACCAGGCGAAAAATCAAATGCAGTAGGAAAAAGATAACCCGCCAACGAGAATTGGCTGTGGTCGCGAAAAGATTTAAAGACAGACTAGTTCCACCCCTGCATGCTAAAAGTCTCATGTCTGTGCGACTACTGCAGTCACTGTACTTATGAAACTAACAAAACAATAAATTTAGAAATTTTCCACTAAAAACGCACCTTCAGACCAAGCTCACCCTGTGTGGTAGTGAGCTTCTCCGTAATAAATTCAGACCGAGAATGCCCCTGGTGCTTTGATACAACCAACATCTGCAAAAATGAAAACGACGTATAAATTTCAAGTGAACGAACTCAAAATATAAGGAAATAGTACGAAATAATCCTTATACTCGGTCAGTGAGCCTTTTCTTTCTGTTCAAACCCAACGGTTTACAGGACTTTCTTAGTTGAGAGTATTCAGTGGTGTCGAAACGTGAAATCCAATGACTAGGCTCATCCAGCTGAAGAGTTACGCAAGCTGATGAGTTTTAACTGAAAAAGGTCTGCCAAGACCACTATGGAACTACTGCAATAGAAAAAGTAGCTCGACAATCAATACATCAGCTTAAGCACTCAGCGTACTTAGTACTACAGTCTAGAGTGCTTAGAATACCGGTAAGAAACATTCAAATAATGGCTTGTTAAGGACGTCGTTGGAATTGGACAGAGCGATATGTTTACGACGCATTCTTCACACCGCAGCTACACCAATACAGTAGTTTTATATAACGGCAACCCTATGCTTTTCTTGATTCTGGAGGTCACACGAAAGCCCATGTGATCGATTCGCAACACGCGAAGAGTACTGACAAACGACCGACATATGTCAACCAAATGACTGTCATTCATGAAGAAAACATCGCGTCACGAAATCGCTGTGACGTAGGCTTTGATGCATATCCATACAACCTAGAATGTTGATCGATTTGAGATAGTACCGTCCCGGTTAGGCGTCCCCCTTCTCCAGTCTACGCATCATAAGAATAGCGTCATCATATATCACCCACCACCATATGTGCCCGATCTGTACAATTTAGATGTGTTCCAGGAGTGGACATTGAAATCTAAATCTGATCTAAATGAAAAAGTTATCCCGTAAATTTTACCAGAGATCCTAATGTCATATTAAAAAAGGACGATGGAAGTGAGAAAACAATTGGTAAGGTTGGGACAGGAGATTGAAATGAAAACGAGAATCGTCTTTCTAAACTCCTTTCCACCTTCAAAGAATATGAAAAGTTGCTAGATATCGTCTAAAGACATAACTCATATAGAGATCGATGACACCCTCCAGGTAAAGTGGTGAGTCCACTGACGATTCTATAGCGCAAACCTTGCATGGTAGATTCGACAACCCTCCTCTCGTACGCAGCTGTGATTTTTTTACTTATTTTATGGAACTAATAATATCGCACAAGAAGGAAAAACAATTCTATAACAAGAACACCCCGCAATGACATCTTTCGTTAAATGACCAGTAGGTAAAGAAACTCTGTCGAGGAATATCAGCTGTCGTCAAAGTACTCCAAAACTCTTTTCAATGCACGTAAGTTCTCCGACTAGGAAATTTAAACTAGTTGTTCGAGAAAAGGAGGCAACTAAAGCTACATCCGACTATAACACATCTAACAAGGCCTACAATGAATGTTTGCAAAGACTTTGGCATGATATCAAACAGGAGAAACCTTCCTGAGATTCCATAGAAAACCACTTGAACCAATACCGTCGATATCCATGAGAATTCGATGTCCAACTACAAGCCCTAGCGAAAAAACTCTACATTACTATCACACCTCTCGCATGACATGGAGTCGATAATGGAAAATTCCCAAAAAGACTCCAATCTTTTCCTTTCCACTACTAGATTTACTGGATGCCACCTTCAAATATCTTCTGCAGATGGAATTGCGCCCGAGAGCACGGAGAGATGTATTCAGAACTTGAGGACACAAAACTGCAGTCGATTTCCTTCAATCTGATAGCAAACAACTACGCGTATCTGTCGCAATGCGGGAAAAAGAACATGATTGAGGACATAATGGAACAACATCCAGTTCACAAAAACCTGTAGTGCACTGAAGTACGAATGGAAACAGAGCACTTTTGATTAAGAAGATTACATGGAACGTGTAAAGTAATATGATGAATGAGTTATACACAAGAAAAAGCAGACTGATTGGGAATCTAGCTCTCCACAGAAGCCGTAGACCAGTTGACCGAGCCAAAACCTCGTGCGAAGCGGGGATGGTTCAATGGTTAGTGATACCGCCGATCAAGAAGTAAAAGCGCTAACTCGATTCCCGCCTCAACGCTCTTCTCCAATCCACGTAGGAACGCGTTAGCTCGGCTATAACCAAGATTGTAAAGATAATCGACTCGACCAGCATTCTACGACATTTATAAGGAACAGGAAATCCTCAAGCAGTAACTAGAACAACACGCGAAATATTCCAAGATCACTGGAGATGCTGGATGCGAGAAAACGAACTGAATCCAAGAAATGCTGCGAGACGCACAATAAATGTGATGATGGTTATGTAGAATAAAATAAAAATAAAAAAGCACCACTCTTGCCACTTTGACTCCGTAGTCTTTCACCCAAGTTACTGTTCAATGAAATAAGCATGTCTTCGAAAGTATTGTACAACCGTAACTCACGTCGACGATAACTCACTACTGTATTGGAATCTGGCACAGATTTATGGATGATGAAATGATATTTGCAAACGCTATCATATAGGAAAACCATCGTCACGTAAAGGAAACGAAAGAAAAGAAAATATGCATGGGTTCTCATACCACGTTAAGAAAGCACACCTTTCTCTGCAAGAAAAAAAAGTAAGCAAACGAGTCACCTTCACCGAAACGTGCTCAGGAAGCCGTATTGGAGCTCTGAAATGTAGCACCATAGAAACGAGGATCTGCATGATTGCAACGATATCCTGGAACGTCAATTAATCCTTCTTTTCTCCTTTCATCACTGCAACTTGTTCTTCATTTTTCTCTGTACTTTAGGCCCGATATGTTAATTAACTGTGAAAGGCACTAAAAGCGCATTATAACGTAAATCAACCTTCGAGTGAATAAGTTCTGCATCCCATTTCGGTTGATCAGTTGGACTAATGATGCGATTCACGGTCTGAACGACCAAATCCAATTTTTTCTTTTGGCCTTCTTCAGACTGCGTGACTTCGGGAACCTCAATCTGAAGTGTATTGGAATTTTGGGGTTAGTCTGGAAAAGGTATTTTCAATGTTGTGCTTCATAACGAAAATTAACGACAAGATCACTAAAATACGTAACGAAATTTGGCAAAAAAGCCAATTTATGTAGAATGACTAGTTTCTTCATTTCCAATTCCGTACTGCAACAAACACTGATAGGGGTGCGTGTATAGTTGTTGGAGGCGCCCCGCAATACACATGGGGTCGATCCTTGCGCCCATGGGCCATCAAGCCCTCCATTCCTTCAGGATAAGCGAGTTGGTAGCAGACTAGTCTGGGAGGATAGCACCACTAACTCGATACATCAGTAGGCCACCGCAAGTCATTCTATAGGCCAGATATGCATTCAATCACCTCCAATGATACTTAAAGAAGTCGAATGCATGGCGCAGTCCTCAGGAATTGATAAATTCCGAGAACTTTTACCCCTTTTGACACTAGCATCGCTCCCGAAGCGTGAGGCGCACGCTGAACTGCGCTGAATATGCACTGTTACAACATCTAGTTTGATACAGCGCAGCAACAACTGGTAACAAATTCCAAGCAAACATATTAAGTATTCGGAAATAATAAACACGCAATGTACCCATTTCCTAATAATAAAAAGAATAAAGGATAAAGCTCTCGGCGTTGACCTGCCTCTTAGGGATGTGCCATGCGTTTGACTTCATTAAGTATCGTTGGAGGTGATTGAATGTATATCTGGCCTTTAAAATGACTCGCGGTGGCTTACCGAACTATCGAGCCAGTGCTGCTATCCTCCCAGACAAGTCTGGTAACAATTTGCCGAACCCGGAGGAACGGAATTCTTGGTGGGCCATGTGTATTGCAGTGGGCCTACATCCGACCATTGGGCCACGCGCATCCCGCTGATAATAAAAGGTAAAAAATATGAAAAGAATAAAGTGATTTTTCATTTCGAGATTGTAATCTATTGTGAATATTGATTGGTACTTCATCGTCAAAAACGAAACCATAAAGCGTGAAATAATCGTATAAAAACGACTTACACGAATTCCAGCTAACTTTTCGATAAGTTTCTGTAAAATCTGTCCGTCATAAAGGTCTTCTTGCAGATTTCTCACCTGAAGCATTAACATCATCTTGCAAACTACCTACTCTTTCTCTGAACAACGAACAAGCAAATATAGAAACTTACAACAATTCGCTGATCCGCCAGCTCTTCGTTGATCCAGTAAATTAACAAGGAAATCAATTCACGAAGCTTACGGTCTTCGTTTGATTCCTTCGTCAAGTAGCGACGCATTTCACCCAAAACAAAATAATGTAGATGTCTGTTTTTGAAACTATTTCCTGTTCTCAATTCTCATTCCTAGTGATTTTTCAAATACTGATGAAACAAGTTTTCAGTATTCCTGAAGCTCCTAATATAAAGCATTTGATGGGTAACAATCTAACCTTCGTCAAGAGCAACGTTTCTGGCCAACGATGGAACCAAACAAGCGTCGATAGATTCGCGACCTTCGATTTCGATCTGAACGAGTAATTCGGCAATAGATTGCTCATCCCATATTTCCATAAGTAATGTCATTCACAACAGAGGTAAAATGTTTTAATTACTACTAATTATTACTTACTCATCACTATTGACGAATTTCTAGGTATTCCTTCAAGTCAATAAAAAACCACTCATTGAAGAAATCAGCCTTCTGTTATTCCTTCTTCTTCTTCACCTATATTTCTTTCTTCCTTTCCTTCTCTCCTTCCTTCTTATCCTATTCTGTTACCGTTATTCCTACTCTATACCTGCTCTTACTTGATTTCCCGATGGGAATATTTTAAGGGAAATTCCTTTACGTCAAGATCGAAACTGATACTCTAACACCGCATATAAAAACAACACATTACAAGATAACTGTTCAAAATGCGCGCATTAAAAATATATCTCCTATAACCACGACGATGCTGAGATATTTGAAAATTCCGGACCGCAGGTGTCTGCAGTGGTGATCGAACACACTATTATCCTCTCCGGGTGCTAACGGGTTCACCACCACAGTATGCGGGTCTTTCGTTTCTCCTTTCTCTCAGCTAGATATGTATCTATCAGTGCTACCGGAAATCACCCGTCAATGATATTACTCATGGGAACCAAAATCGGTAATGAACCGAAACCCAATAGCAATATCTCCAATACAAACAAAAGTTTTCACCTCTAAAGCCTCGTCCTCTTCGGTGTTTTCTGCATTAGCATGCCCCGACTTCTTCTTTCTGGTCAATGTCCCCGTTAATTTGTCGACTAATGAGTCACCCTAAAACACATTCACTTTTGAGAAATTTTAGTTGAACATATTCTAACCGAATACATAAAATGTGGTGGACAAATACTATCATTTATTTGTTGAAAAAATAGATTCTGGTTAGATTGACCTTGTCAAGTCTTTCAAACTGTGGACAACTTACCAACATATAACATGTGTTTTATGACCGAGTTTATATAAAACGGCAAAAGCATCGCCTATTCCTTCTGAAAGTTTTTAATTACTAATATTATCAAAATCCCTTCTTAAGTCCGACCGTTACTCGTAGATAAGCGCCAGATCAACGTAACAAGGCGCGTTCATACGTTGACTGGTTTCCATTCCCTGCAGAGCCCATAAGAATAAAGATAAAACTTTCGGCGTTGATTAATCCTTGAGAGATGTGCCATGAATTCCACTTCATTAAGCATCGATAGAAGTGACTAAATGCATATCTGGCCTTCGCAATGACTCGCGATGGCCTACTGCTCCACCGAACCAATGCTGATTTGCTCCCAGACAAGTACCAATTTGCCAGAGTGATGGAAGGCTTGGTAAGCCTAAAACGCCGCGATCAATCCCATGTATATTGCATGGCGCTATTATATTATTACTATATTATATTATTATACACTATTAAATACGAACCCATAAATAAAGCACATCTCATCGGAATCAGAAACTGATTCTGGCTTTCTTATTTTTTAGATGGTGTGTAGACACGCTCGTAGCGCAGTGGTTAGAGGCGCCTTGCTATGCACACTGGATTGATCGCTGGTCAGATCCGGACTGTGGGCCCACCAAGCTTTCCATTCTTCCAGGGCGGCAACAAACTGTTATCAAACTTATCTGCGAGAATAAAAACTGACACGATGCATCCTTAACCAGTGCACGTCATTGTGTAGGCCAAATATGCATTAATTTAACTCTGTGGAGCTCGATGAAATCGAATTCATGGCGCATCCCTAAGAGACCGATTCACCGCCGAAAACTCCATCATTCATTCTTTGGTTCATAGTTAAGGAAACAACATATTCTAACTTCATATTGCTTTTAACACCTACTTGATGCTAAAACTCACTACTAAACCATCTTTTTGTAGATGCCACATCAGCAAAAACATTAGCTTGCCATTACCAGCCCTAAGGATAGCACTGCAAAACGAGCCTTTTTATTCCTTGTGGTGTCTGAAGGACCAGGCGTACGTCTCATCACGGCTGACATTTGGACGTGGAGAGCTCTAAATAAACACGCCATCCCATGTTATAGCACATATCGAATATAACAAAGAGCTACACACGTAAGGGTATCAACTGTATAACCTCGAAATAGTAGGATACGTACGTACTTCATTACTGCCACCGATTACAAACCTGTGAAGATCTCTTTATACAAACAAACTACAGCATTTCAAACGTATCATTCCGCACATTCTCTAGGGAAAACGAATGATAAGTTGTCGACGTCCAGAACTAATTCCAGTTTAGTTTTTATTGTTTCGGGCAGATCAAACCGCTCAAGTGATCCGAGCTTCTAATTCTCCGCTGTACGACATGAAATTTAGGAAAATCGAAACTAAGAGGCTCGTATAATAGAGATTGAAGCCGGTAAACATCACTTCCTAATCCAGATGAAATTAATCTACTGTTTTCTCTAGAATGGAAAACATTCTACTTACTTACTTGAATACTGGAACGACCCGTCTTCAATGGTTGTGAGGGCCCCAGCATAATTTCCACTTCTTCGGAGTTTTGCTAACTTAGCCATTGTGCTTCCTCCAAGTCCTGAGTCCAGCTAGGCCAAAGTCTGCCCAGGTCGTCACCACCGCAACCAGTCACCGCTCTTATGGAACACAGGAAGATTTGCCACCATGCAACTAGTTTGACACCAGGACGGTGGTGGATCCTGGTACTGGTTTACTATTAGCTAGGCTTTCTAAAAGAAACGCCGGACTCCTCAGCTTAGGAGACCTTGTCGATGGGAGGATAAGCACTCCACTGTACACCGCAGCCGTTCACCCAGGAACAGCTCCTAGCCACGATGAGGTAAACCGACGAGAAGAAACATTCTATTAACATCCATCAGTGTTTAAAACAAAAACAGCAAGACTGAGCTGTGTTCTGGCAGTTGCCACAAGAACACCAAATCCTATTAACCACTGAACACTGCAAGCTGTGAACTTCAGACTACTAACTGTACAATTCTATACACACCTACACATTCCTGCTTTATTCATGAGAATATGAATCAGCATTATACTATCCCTTCTAACGGTTTAGCGCCACATCGTGGCTGGAAGGTCTTCCTGGGTGTTTGGGTGCGATGTACATGGGGGTGATTCACTCACCCAGCAGGGTCTCCCAAGCTGAGGAGTCCAGCGTTTCCATCAAAAAACCCACCTAAGAGTAAACCAATACCAGGATCCGTTAACATCCTGGTACCAAACTAGTCGCATGGTGACAAACCTCTCTGTGATCCACAAGAGTGGCAATTGCCTGTGGTGGTGACGATCTTGGGCAGACTTTGCCTAGGCTGACCTCACGACTCCTAGGAACCACAACGACTAAAGCAGCAAAACACCGAAATAATGGAAATTATGCTGGAGCCCGCATAACCAGTGAAGACGGCCCATCTAAATCAGGAGTAAGATACACTCCGCGTTTAAATGGATTACTAAGAACATATTAGCCCTTCTTAGTTAGCTGGAATAAATAAATACGATTCTTTAACGTACGGCAGAGTTACTGAAGTACTTCATTAGAAAAAAAGTACCGAGCACGAGAACAGAAATGATAAAGAGCAGGACAATTACGAGCTAGACATGTTATCATTACCAACCACTCTAGTTGAGAATAATCTATGGATAGTGGACGAACAAACCATGGACAAAGTGATCCGTTACCAACACGATGGCTAGACCGGGACAGCTGCTACGATGTGCGGGGGCTGCGACCAGATATTACATCGCGTCAGCGATCAATACAACGGAGTGTGCATACATAGCTGGCCCCGTACAAGTTCCTGGAACGCATACCACGACGAATACGATGATCCCGGGGCATCGCACATGAAGATCTTCCACACACCATTCCTCATCCGGACATTTTCCACAGATCTGGAACAGCATTTACTCAAATAAGGAGAAAATACTTGAAGCTCTTAAGTAGACGAATTAGAAAGAAGGAACACCATTTGACCAATCCTCGTCACAATATAGAAGCAAGCCAAAAGAGAAAACGCTACGTGATTCAACAACTGTTTTAAAAGTCTTTACGACTAGTACGAAAAGCCTGTAAAAACCCAGTATAATGCTAGTTGCCTGCTCATTGTACTGTGTTCAAATAATATCATTTCAGAGATCGTTACATTCAACTGATGGAAAATCTTTTTCGTCGATCTTGTTCGTCAACCTTTGAACTTTCGTACGAATGGTTGATAAACAACAACAAGAACAACAGTAATGCCGCTTTCAGTGTTCTTTATTAAATGACTATAAACAGTAGAATGCAGCGACGAGTACGGTTCGTTCAGCAAGATCAGAACACCTTGTATCGACCAGTTGGTCCACCTCGCTGCATCTGTGCCGTCTGAAAGTAATAAATTGCAAACTAGAAAACGTTTAGTTTGTCTAACATATAAGGGCCGACATGAAGTGAACTCAAGTGTGGTCAAAAACATATGCACCATCAATTTCAAACATGTTCACCTCAGCTCTATTAAACTGCATAAGAACCTCACTCTACCAAGATGAAATCTATATTTCGTGAAGCCCATAAGACGCATGATATGACATTCTCTCCATATACATATCAGTGGTGGCCCCATATTCCACTCTTATGTGAAAAAATAAGAAATTTAGTTTTGTGCTAAATTTTCCAAAAGTTTGAATTCTCCCTTGCACAGCAGAACAAAGGCTGTCTTATAATTCCCACGACTTCCTATTAACCTCGGCACTGATCAAATAATTCTCTATATTCTTGCTGGGCAAATACGAGGTGTTACTTTGAAGGTGAAAGCCGTTGAAACGTCAGCTTCATCGTACTAAAGAAACAAAATAGCTCTACTACAAGTTTGTCAAGCTCTCAACTCCTCAACTGTTTTAGCTACTGAAAAGTGCACAGGAATAGTCGGGAATCACGCGTTGTTCCACCCCAATGGAACGAAAAATTAGACGTGGGGCTCTATGTGTTAAAAGATTCACGTCAACAGACATTCAGGAACATAAAACACATGGTGCACTGGTTCCAAAGGACTTTTTTAAATATTTTTTGTAATGGTTCTATTTTTTACTTTCCGTATTCCACCAATAGCTGCCCACCACAGGCAAATTATGCCAAGCCTGGCCCAAAAAGGATCCTTGATGGCTCATAAAAAATACCATTCGGACTATTTTGTTCTTTAACCCACAGAGAACTTTGATGGCAAAAAGGCCATGAAGATATCTGCACCAGTAACAGCACAATATATAAAGAGGATACCGAAACGTTTCTCTTGCAAAAACATAGAGACATGAATTCTGCATAGACTAATTGCCTTTATGGATAAAGTAGTGCTAAAATTTTGGCCAGTAATGATAGGAGTTTGCTCCTTTCTTGGTGAGCTAAGTGGACAAAGTGCATCAATTTTCTGGTGTGCCATAGAGCCAGAACAAAGCGTCACGAATATGCAAACATAAAACTGTGCTCTTCAGGAAAGGAGCTATACATAGTGGAAAGCACTGATCAGAGTAAAACCATGCGAGGCACTGGATTGAATTCACTTACCAGTTGTCGGAAGGCATCTTTCATGATTCGAACAATTTCCTCCTTTGCGCATTTCAAATTTCTTTCGTGTCGTGCTTCCAATAATAGGTACAACTTTCTTTCTCCTTCTTTTGGCTCCTTACCAGGTGGGTAGTGAGAGCCTTTGACTGAGATTCCAACATCAGCGAACTCAGAAATATGACCAAGCGACTCCTAAAGAAAAGTACGCACATATCTACTTTACTGCAGAATCATTCCACTCAAAAAAGACATCTTTAGAAGAAATACATAAGCAGATAGTTATTACAACTTTTCTTGTCTTTGATTTAATTATAAAACCTAAATCGAAATTAGTACTGCCCGTTGATAGACAAATCTCTTTCATAGTCCACAACCTATGTACTAATAATCCAATAAGAACGCCAGCGAATTTATGAAGCCAGGGCGAAGAGAGACAGAAGTTTGGGATGCATTAATCAGATCTCTCAACTAATTCCCTATCATTGTACAGGTGTACTCACCCTACTGCATACACGATATCGCACTTGCTGAGGGAAATCGTTTATATCGAGTTCTTCCTCGAAATACTGCCACTCTTCCTCTTGGATAGTTGTCGGCAGTGCTTCACCTAAATGTTCAGTACATGAAACTTCCAGTTAAGCTCGTTTGTTTACTTGTCAGAAATAAAAAAAGAAACACTGTATTCGTAATACTCCGAAAGACCGACTTCCAATTAATGCCGGCAATAATAAACAAGTTCTTACGAACTGTACTTATTATAATCATATATTGTTTTATCAAGACATTGTCCTTACTATATCCAGTTCCTTACCTCCCAAATAATTAAGCTTTTCGTTTAGCTTATCCGCCAACTGTTTTGCAATCATTTTGGAAGTCATTTCAATAGGGGCGATATCTCCACCCTAGAAAATCTCGTGTAGCTACGTATATACAGACCAAAGCTGAATAAAGATAGACGGCAAAGACCAAAAACCTTCATAATAGCTTCAGCAGTCTTCTGAGCCGCATCTTTTTCGGCTGGTGCATTGAGATTCCTAAGCATTGCTAACTTTTCAGCCATTGCCTTGGCTTTAGCTACCTTTAAATGCGGAATAATATATCCAACTGCAAAACTAAACGTAGTAACACTGAAACAGTATTCAGATGTGAAAAAAAACCTTGTCCTCTACATCAGCATTCTTTTTCAGGGAGCTCTGACTCATTTGCCCTTCTACTACTCTTCGCTTCGACTTTATCATCATAGATAACTGCTCATCCAATTCATCGTCGTCATCCGCACCATGCTCCATACCGCACACCTCAACAACACAAATCTTCTCTAACATAGGAAAACAGGAATACATTTGAAGTAACATCAACTATAAATTTAAAATAACCAAGCGAGTCATTTTCTTCTTAGTTGCTTCTGCTTCAGCCTCATCCTCATCGTATTTATAGCCGCTGCCAGCAAACCTAAGAAGATACCATACATTAACATATTGCTGACATGCATGCGAATAAATACTCACCCTTTTCCTCCCAGATGAACCTCTTTACCTTGTGCTGCCATTTCGGCCTTGAATTTTTCAAACATTGCTTTCAGTTCAGGCGGTGGTTTAGAACCAGCCGTTTCGAAAGCACGACATACCTCACCTGCCATTCTTTCTTGGTCTAGAGATTTTCATAAACAATTTTTAAAAATAGGAAGAATTCGAAGGAAGAAAATAACACGACGAAAACATACGCTCAGGAAGGACGAACGTGTAAGCATAGCCTTTATTTCCAGCACGGCCAGTCCTTCCCACCTAAAGATAAACATTAAGAAAAGATTTATTCCTCTCTATCACCATTACTTACCCTATGAACATAATCCTCATAATGGTTGGGACAGTCGTAATTAACAACCAATATGAGATTCTTCACATCGAGACCTCGAGCAGCAACGGAAGTAGCAACCTGGAAACAGTTACCTTGCACTAGGGGTGTCTTAAACACAATATTCCATAAAGCTACAAACCAATATCTTTATGACACCAGATTTGAAATCGGTTATGGTCGAATCTCTATCGAACTGATCTATTCCTCCATGTAAAGGTGCACAGGAATATCCATTTCGCATCAACTGTGCCACAATATCATCGGCCTCAAAACATTGTTAGACAGGTACAACAAGTCATAGATTAATAGGCATGACTTTAGCTGTGCTAACAAAATAGTCGTGACGTTCATGAGATATGCAACCGCATCTAGAGAAACTAACAGCTGATAATTACTCTTGTACAAACTTTTTAGTAAAAGTGTAAATTTAAATCATAAGTGTTACCTTTAATGTATCAGAAATTTCAACCTTCAAATTAGAAATACCTTTTCTTGTTTATCCACGAATACGATTACATTTCCTTGTTCATGGTACATTCCAAGCAATTCAAGAAGCTTCAACAGTTTCTGATGTTCCTCGCAAATTATAGCATTTTGAGTCACATCAGCGCATACCACGCTCTTTCCACCAACCCAAAACAAAACATGGTCCAGAAATCAAATACAATTTTAAGTAGTATTCATTAGTTACTTGAATTTCTATAGGTTTATCCAAAATTTTCCTTGCGAGTGCTTCCATTTGGCGAGGGAATGTCGCAGAAAATAGTACGGTTTGACGATCCGGTCTGATGTTGTTAATTATCTTCATAACCTGCAATTATGGAAATTGTGTCGTTTCTGAAAAATAGCACTTATTTTTCCGAATTGTCCCCTCTTAGTCTTTTTCCAAGCCCTGGTATAACAAAAATATTCTAACCTGCGGCTCAAAACCCATATCAAACATTCGATCCGCTTCATCGAGAACAAGATAAGTAACACGACGAAGATTTGTCACTTTCCCTATAAAGTGGACAAGGTTCAAACTGGAAATTGATCCATTCGCAGAAATTGCTGGACAATAATTTAAAAGACCATAAAAATAAAAACGTAGTCCAACTCACCACTGTTAGCTGCAAGCATATCAATCATCCTTCCAGGTGTGCAAACTATAACCTCAGCACCTCTCTTTAAGTCCGCAATTTGTTCGGATATCCCAACACCACCATATACGCAGACAACACGAATATCAAGAACCTAATTTGAATAGACGACTACGACAAGCCGTAACAAAACTGCTAACGAAGAAGAGATGGAAAAAGGAGTTAGTATTACACACTTTGGCAAACTTATTCGCTTCTTTCCAAGTCTGCATGGCAAGCTCCCGCGTAGGCGACATAATAAGAGCTGAAATTCTTTACTTCTAATAAGATTTCAATGCAAAGAAATAATCTACACCCGATTCCTAGCTAACCTATGGGCCCATCAAGCTCTTCTAGTTCTGGTTGGTCCAATATATGACGGAACATTGGTAAGAGAAATGCAAGCGTCTTTCCCGATCCTGTTTTGGCAATTCCAATAATGTCTCGACCTGCCATGATGCACGGGATTGCCTGTGCTTGAATCGCTGTTGGTTTCGTGTAGTTATGTCTTGAAGTAAATAAAATTGAACTGTCACGTTTACAGTAACACAGACACAATGGTCACACGGGATTTCAAACATTTCTTCAAATTTCACACTAATCTTCTTTGGTATGACGGCTCATTGGTGTCCCTCATCTAAGAAAGAGAATAGGAAAACTAACCTTTTCAGTTGTTGAAGTATCTTGAATTCCACACCGCATTGAGCCCATGTCTTTATGGGTTTGGGGCATTTGTTACCCTTTACCTCAATTCCATCCAACTCTTCTCTGTAGGCGCGCACTTCAGCTTTAGTCATCTTCGCGATCTCTGGCGTCTACAAGAAGTTTATCTAGTGCAAATTTTTTTTCATTGTAGAGTCCAATGCCAAATAAAACTATAACGATGGTGATACATGAGAGAAACTCAGAATCACAGGTGGGGTTCGTACCTGAGTTCACCTTTACTGAGGGCTTACGTACTACTCACCGCACTACCCATGAAGACATAGGAGAGAGAGAAAGCACAGAGGAATAGAGAGAAGGCAGAGCAGGAAAACGTTAAGGATAAAACATTTTAGAACAGAATACTTAAGCAGCCAATGAGGATGACTACATCCAAAGTATAACTTTTCTGAAAGCTGCTATTTACCAATACGGTTAGAGGGCTTATGCTGATTTCGAAGTTAAGTAAACAACTCAGATATCTAATGAAAAGTTGTAGATCCACCAACTGGCAATCAAAGAACATTTCACATTAAGCATTTCAAACAAAATGCACAGTTAACGAAGAATAATGAAGAAAACCAGACCTCAACGTAGAAATCCTTGCGGAATGGCCGATAGTACACCTTTGAGTGGTCCGTTGCAGGTAACATGCGTCCTTTATGACACAAGCTCGCAGCCGCCTAAATAAGGGGAGCAAAAATTATGTTGCACTTTTTAAAAAAAACACAATTTAAAAAAGTAGCACCTCGAAGAAAAAGAAACAGAGAAATGGGATGACTTACCTGCTCCATATCTATGTCGTCTACAACGAAGTCTGAACGACCTTCATTTTCAAGCACAACTCCTTTTTCCTTTTCTTTCACCGCATTTATGGTAACAACTCTTACACCACCTCCCTGCAGACCACATTGTCTTTGATTTCTATAACGAGACCACATTACCACCTAAAAACTTACCGAATTTCGATCCTTCTGTAAGTCCTTTCGAAGTCCACTCATAAACATATCCAGTGGATCTTCTTCATCCTCTTCATTAGTAGAAGATGGTCTGGAAAGACGTTGCTTTATTATCCTTTCCAAGAAATGAATACTGTTCCACATATGTCTTAACTTTAAGTTACCGATTATTTTTCTTCCGCGTCACGGTACTATGTGAAGCGAAATCACAAGGATACTGAAGTGTGAAAAACTCACAATCTCAGATGGGCTTCGAACACTCGATTACCCTTACAGGGGCCTACGTACTATCCACCACGTCAACCGAGGGCTTTCCTTTGCCTTTCTCTCAGCCATTTTTTTACTCCATCTATGCCTAGGAGTGCGTGTGACACAGTGGTTGGAGGCGTCACTGCGACACACACGTGGAATCGATCCCGGTACCCATGGTCCACCAAGTCTTCCATCCCTTAGGGGTCGGTTGGTACCAGACGTCTGGGAGGATAGCAGCACTGGCTCGACACATTGGTAGGCCACCGCGAGTCATTGTAAAAGCCAGATATGCATCCTCCAACGATATTTCATGAAGTAGAATGCTTGGCGCATCCCTCAGGGATTGATCAAAGTCGAGAGCTGTATCCTTTATCCTTTATCAATGCTAGTCCAACTACAGCTTCAGAAAGAACAAAAAGGAACAAAAATAGCATAGAAAAAGCGAGAAAAAAACATGGAGAGCCCCAGGACGGTAGTTGCGAGCTCAAAACACAACTGAGGTTCCGAATTTTGCTCATATCTCAGCATCCTTCCGACTGCTCCACGTACCTCAGCATCGCTCCCATTGAAACAAGTTTACATCGACCCCAATACCTCTTTTTTGCCAATATGGGAACAAATCTCACTTTGCTTCACTTGTAGATTCTTTCAATCCACCATCGGTTAGATCATTATGTGAGTTATCAAGAACCATATCATCAGGATCGTCATCATCATCATCTTCGAGAGTCCACACCTTCTTTTCTGACTTGTCCGTTTCGCAAGGATGTGAGTACTGAAACCAATTGTGTACAGTGGAAATCACCACATCAGAACACTTCTATTAGTTCATCACCTCTCCTTTTTCCTCCTTCTCTGCTTGTTGAGCAGCATTTGCAGCCCTATTTCTACGTGCGCGCCAAATTTCTACTTTTCTTCGTCGTTCTTCCATGATGCGCTCCAACTCAGATCCAGCTTCTGCCTAGACACAAAACTCATAGTCCAGAATCATAAAATAAAGTCCTTCTCCTTCTAACCTTGTCCTTCATTCCAACTATGTCCACAATATCCTTCTCTTCTTTTTTCTTCCCAGTCTCTTCATCTTTCCGTTTGTCTTTTTCCTTCTGTTTATCGTTTTTCTTTCGGTCTTTTTCCCGCCGAGGTGACCTGAAAATCAATAAGATCGGAAAGAAAACAAACGTTCCCGTACCAGAAGAAAAAATAGAAGGACTCTGTTCAAAAATATACATGTCGATAGAATATTGACATTCAGCTCTACCTGCTTCTACTCCGTTTTCGATCTCGGTCTCGTTCCTTCGATCGCGATCGCCTTCTATCACGGCGTTCTCTTTCGCGACGATCCTTATCTCGCTCCCTGTCGCGATCTCGATCTGAACGAGATTCCTTTGCCATGGCTGAAAAAGTCAAAAACAGTACAGTATGGTATGCTTAGATTAGTAAGCAATTCAGCTGAGAAGCATTTCTTCAGAGCTAAAATAATAACAAAAAATTCATCGCCTTAAGAGCATATAGCTAATAGTTGGAAGAGGGAAGCGTTAACAGGATGGATTAAAAACAACATAATGATGAATGATGATGATGATGATGAAGTCCGATACGGAGGAAGTCAGGATCAAACCGAACTCCTAGTAATTCCCACTATCGACTTTCTACTAACTGCCGAAATAATGCCGAAGGATCAGCTTTAGCGGAATGAAGAATAGAGTAACATCCCGTGTTTGCTCAAAAGAAATATCGAGAACTATTTGATCAAAGCGAGGTTCATAGAAAGTCGGTCGTGGGAAATATACATTTTTCTCAAACAGAACAAGTTTATATACACTTATTTTCTTACTTGTTACTTGAATGACCTGTCACTGAATGTCACTGGTTGTGCGGGCCCCGGCGTAATCTCCATTTTTTCAGTTTTCCTGGTTTAGTCATTGTGGTTCCTCGGAGTCTCGAGATCATCCAGACCAAAGTCTGCCCCAGTTCATCACCACCACTGGCAGTCCCCTTCGCTGTGAATCAGAGGGAGATTTGCCACCATGTGACTAGTTTGCTGCCTGGATGGTGACGGATTCTGGTATTGGTTTACTCTTAGCTGGGCTTTTTGATGGAAACGCTGGACTCCTTCTCAGCTTGGGAGACCCTGCTGGGAGAATGAGTCACCCCCCTGTACATCGCACCCAGACACCCAGGAAGACCTCCTGGCCAAGATGAGGCGGTAAACCGTTGCGAAGTACGTCCACTAGTCATTTCAAAATCTGAAAATCTGTTGGCAGTGAAATCGTCGGACACATTTTTAGCTCCAGCTTATTTCTTGAAGCATCTCTCCAGTGGGAAGCTAAGAAGGTTCTCTACAAACGTCTTACAGAATGGATTGGAAACAACGCGGTGACCAGACGACAAAGTTCCATAAGTAAGAAATTAACGAAAAGGAACTCCTATTTGAGAAAATAAAATTGGTCCGAAATAACTGACAAAGTGCACAAGATGGAAATGCGAAATCTTGCAAGCTAAACCAGCCATCTCCCCAGAGAAATACGAGTCACAATTCTTCCAAAATTCAACCGCTTTGTTAGCGGAATAAGCGGTGTTTTGTGCAACTACGGCCGCCTTCACTTCTAACTCGACCAATCGCCAAATCTGGTTTCGATTGTCGAGCCGGAAAAGGTTTCGGGGTGGAGGGCATCTCGATTTCGACTCCAGTAAACGTGGATTACCCAGTGAGGTTTTCCAAAATATGACGGTGATGAAGTCTGAATAGCGGATCACCTTCTGGATATTGCATTTTTATGTGCTAGAGCGCTTTTAAGCGTTGCTCATTGCCTTTTGAAAACAGCATGAGGTAGTGCGAAGAGGATCCGGTCCTCCGTATTCTGGCTGGCTAAGAGTCAGAAGTGATACCTGTGTCATACAACCCGCCTAATGCTTCGGCTACTCACCTGGGTGGTCCATTTTGCACATAAGGCCGACCAGTGGGGCATCATAGAAACAAGAGCATGGCAGCCTGTTGAGTGCTCCAAAGGTGAAGCTGCCAATTCTCTGGACGCTAAGTTGCCGCCTACACATGTGGTTTTCCTTCCTATGAATACGTCCTTCATCTTTAGCAAAGAACCTATTAAACGATGAATCAAACGCTATGGCTCAGCCACGTACCGTAAAACTTGTACTGTAATGGGTACACACCTCTTCAGCTGTTCAGAAAAGGTTCTTTTTATAGTGTCCATGTGGTTAAGACATTTTTTCAAGCAGCAAACCTACAACGAGCTTCATCACTTCATTGCGGGCACCACCTCCAGTTACGGAAGGGTCGCCATCGGCACATACCATAGTTCCATAGCTGTAGCCACTTCTGGAGCACAGTGTGAACATCTTGGGTCGGTACTTGTGCCCCTTATGTAAAATAGTACAATTGGGTGGACCTACTCCTAAACGGCAGAAGGGAAGTGAGTCATGAGAAATTCATAAGCATGTTGCACTTCTGTGCATCGAAGGAGGATTGATAGATGCGAACCGGACTGTGGTCGAAGATCTGAGGGACCTCGCAAGTGGGCACCTTGTGTACACAGATCTTCTGGAATACTCTCAAAGAGTGGGAGAAAAACGACTTCTATAGCAAATTCCACCAATTTCATTTATGTTATCAATTTCTGAATCTATTGGATACAAGACATATCAGGATAAACTCGACAGAAGTTGTAAACCAGCTCCGTAAACTGATAGGAATGGGTTTGGCAGGTGAACCTGAGCGAAATATAGCGTGTAGTAGCATTGTTGTGGCTTTATAGAGATAAAGTAAAGCTCTTCCGTAACTCCATGATGTTCTCAACACTAAAGACCTTCAGTTTTCTATGATTAATCGTTCTCTACCAAAACAACCAGATTTCCTGTCAAAACTGCGGGCAGGTTTTTCTGCTTTTGCGGACTCCGTGAAATCAAAGCGGGTCGCGTCTTGCGATTGTTTCCATTTGTTTTTATGTATTATTTCCTTTTTTTTTTTTATTAAATTTGTCTGGTTATCATTTTATCATTTATTTCATTTTGTTTTGTTCTTTTATCTACGTTCTGTTTATCTATTTCTACAGTTCTTCGCTGCCTTGTGGTCAACAAGTGCTTAATCCTTATGTCTTAGGGAATTACGACTGATTCTTCTACATTCTGACCTGTGGCTCGCCCCTATTCTTCTAGGATGGGATCTCTACCCCCTGCGTTACTTGCTCGTCTTCAGAAGCGCGGTATAGTAAAAGCTAGTAAGTGGTTATGGACTACTTCCATGTTTTTTGATTTGTAGCGTAGCATTTCATGTCGTTGAATTTCAGCAAATGAGGAGGTTATTGCTGAAAGTTATGACTCTTCTGACACGAAAGAAAAGAAAGTAAACGAAGGAAATTCTTCTGGAGCCCCTGGATGTCCGAACAAATACAATCCATACCACTTATGTTCGGAATACTGCTACGATCACTGGAGAGAAGGCACACCGGAAATTAGGTGCGCTTCGTAACTGGTTAGGTTTATTTTGGCATTTTATGCCCGACCTTTCTGGATAATTTTTTTCAATTTCGACTGTACATAATCGCAGTCGTACAAAGTGATAACTTTTAGATTATCAGAGTCGTACCAGAGGAAACGTCGGAGGATGCTTGCCAAATTCCCACTTCCAGAGCCATGGGTTGAAGTATATGATGCAGGCATAGCGAGGCACTACTACTGGAACCAGGATACAGACGAGGTTTATTTTAACTTCCATAGATGCTCCTCCTTATCCGTCTAATAGCTTGTGTCTACCTACATCCTTCTTGTTCCATTTATGAACTTTCTTGACTAATTATGAGCGTGCTATCAATGATTATTCAGGTTTGCTGGGTTTCACCACGTCATCCCATCGCTGTGATAGGTGAAGCTGCTCCACGACTTGCCAAAGAACTGAAAGAAAGAATGGAAGGAGCTACTTTAACTGATCTCCAAGTAGTGTTCATAAATTTTCCTCTAATTATTCTAATCTAATTCCTTTTTTAATTAGATGGCTCTCAACTACTAGTGGTTATTCGCAGTTCTAGCATTTCTCTTTGTCTTGCGTCTTTAACTGTATAAAAAGTATATTATCTCAACATCGGCCTCTCCACGGTTTACCGCCTCATGGTGGCTAGGAGGTGTTTCTTGGTGTCGAACTGCGATGTACAGCGGCGGCATTCATCCGCTCAGTAGGGTCTCCCAAGCTGAGAATGAGTATGGTGTTTCCATCAGGAAGGCCGGCTAAGAGTAAAACAATACCAGGATACACCACCGTCCTAGTATCAAACTAGTCGCATGGTGGCAAATATCCTTTGATCCACAAGGATGCGATTGCACATGGTGGTGAAGATTTAGGGCAGACTTTGGCCAGGTTGACCTCGGGACTCCAGGGAACCACAATGGCTTAATCAACAAATCTCCGAGAAACGGTGATTATGGAAGCTGTGAATATGGGCCATCCAACCATCCAAATAAAGTGTCTTTTATAGCGCAATTACGTAGAGAGCCTCGAAGTTTTTAAAAGAGACGTTTGAATTTGCGTATTGTAGTGATTTAAGGGCGTTTAGTACCAGGTATTTTCCAAATATATAAGGAATGCAAATAAAGCCCAATATTTACGCATGTTAGCATCTTTTTCCATATCTACAACTCTTCTTCAAACTAGGTGAACAATGAATCTCCTCATTTTGCTTGTTTTTTGGCGCCAGACGCCAGGAGAATCTTGTCTATAGATACCTTTTTGTCTTCCAGGAGAAGAAGATCGAACATGGAAAACAGCCTTTGAAATCTGCATTGTCAAAGAGAAAGAGGGTATGTGCACAATCGGTTGCACTAAATATGGTATATGTATCAATATGATTGATGATGACGAGAGTGGATTTTAGCGGAACTCTGACGATTCAGATGGTAATGACAGAGGAGGTGATAGTGATGATGATTCCACAAAGATTGAAGAAATGAGCGAAAGAGATCGACTAAGTATGTTTGTATATCGTGTCCACATGGTACTCTTGGGAACGACGGTGATTGTAATCATTTAAAATAAGGATGCTCTGTGTCTCAATAGTTACGATCACACTACTGCTTTTTTTCCAGCTTTTGAAGACTGTACTATTAAGAAACTAAAACTCTTAAACGAACAAATTTTAGTAATTGTAAAGATCTGCCTTGTTTCTTCCTCTATTTTTCTATTCTATTGATCTTGATATTTGTCGTTTGAACATTGCTGAAGTAAGAACTATGCCTATAACTGATTTACCACATATTCGGCAGTTTCGGATCGTAATTTACCACTTCTAGGACGAGCACGAAGAAAGGGTATTGATCCAATGGATCCAGCCGCTTACGGAGATGTGCCAGTGTAATTTTTTTTTTCGTTGATTTTTTAGTCGCAAGTGTTTTCCTATCGCTTTGTGACGATTCATCACTTTTTTCTCTTCCTCTCTCAGAATGTCTGAAATTTTAGTGGAAAATGGTCTTCTGGTCTTCATGCTCACGATAAGACTGGTGCTGATGTGACTGCAGGAGGACCACTTTTCCAGCAAAGACCGTACCCAGCACCTGGTGCTATTCTGAGACAGCAAAAGAAAAGGGCCGAGGAAGATAAAGATTAACTAGCCCACGAAGGGGAAGTGTAACTGATTTGTTAGTTTTTGTGCTTTTGTTTGTTTACTACTTTTTCACTCTGTCTCACTTTCGATTTAATATTGAGGAGGTATCAGAAGGTTGATTTGTTGTACTTCTTCCATATGAAAAAATGCCGGCCCGTCGCTTATTTCGAGATGAAGCAGGCGGTTTGTCTTATCAGCCGTAGTTATTGGGCGCACTTCTCAGCCTTATCTCTCAGTAAAGATGTATTTGATGTTGCTTTTACTCACATTTCTTCGAAAAATCTTCGATAATGTCTGGTTAGCTAATTTTCTTCTCGTGAGTAACGCTTCGTTCTAACAAACTTGTCTAGAAATTCACCAACTTGTCCTACTATTGTGTGAGTAGTAGGTTTCGAATAAAGGTTAAACTGCTTCGCAATATGTAATCATATTTGGTAGAACATTTGCTTGTCCAGAAAGTGTTTTGAAAGCTGCAACTATGAAGCTTTTGAACTTAATAAGAAATAGTAGTCTACAGCATTCTTCAGTTCTTCTGAGAGTCGTCCTTTGTTCGTGAAGGTTTGTTAGATTCATTGTTTTGATGTGCGAATCATCCCTAGATATGAACTCGCTTTGGGATTCTATGGAGTTTATTGCGTCACGAATATCTGAAACGCGTACCAGTGTAAGTGAGCGCCTACGGGGAATTGGTCCTGTATGGCTGATTCTTGGAACGATCGGTGGAACTGTTGTCTACATAAATGTTGCTGAATGGTACAGAAAAAATGAAGAACCTATAGCGAAGCTGTTAGTTTATCCTTTTGTGGTAGATCTAGCTGCTTCTGAAGATTTCCTATGATCAGTGACACTTCGGTACCATTTCAGCTTCAAAGCGTACATTTTTCGGAAGCTTCGTTGTTTGCCTATGGTTAAAGCAAAAATCGACAAGGAACTATGTGAAGTTAGGAAGGAAATACTTGAGATTATTCACAAGCATGATACTGACAGGGTTTTTATATCCGGTAATTTTCATCAAACAATGCGACAGTGTTATTTCCATAATACTTTTGACTAGATATACCGGACGAAGGCTTATCAACTGATTCGGTGCTTGGACTAGCAAGCAACTATGAATCATACGGCAAATTTGATATTGCCGAAGGTCGAGTATCCGGTGCCGTCTACACAGATCGGTCTCCTGAACATGTTGCATTGCTTGGACAGGTGTGTTTGAATCTATGAATGTAATTCCTATCCTTTAAGCCTATCCAAGAGTTTAATCACACTTTAGGTATATACTAAGTACGCGTACTCAAATCCACTTCATATGGACGTGTTTCCTGGAGTTCGTAAGATGGAAGCAGAGACAATCCGCATGGTTTGCTTTCATATACACATATGTACTTGATATTTGATACTTGAATGGCCCGTCCTTACTGGTTGTGCAGGCCTCCAGCATAATCTCCTTTTTTTGGAGATTTGCTTGTTAAGCCATCGAGGTTCCGTGGAATCTCGGGGTCCACCTGGCCAAAGTCTGCCCCATATCTTCACTACCACAGGCAGTCGCAGTCCTTGTGGAGCAGAGGGAGATTTGCCACCATGCGGCTAATTTGATACCAGGACGGTGGTGGACCCTCGTATTGATTTTAAACGTACAAATATATATGTATATATTACGTATATACATATATATGTTCCACATAGAAGGCGGGTGTAGTGGAGTGGTCGGGCGCGCCAAGCAATACACACGGGATCGACTCACGCGCCCAAGGCTCACCAAGCCTTCCATCCTTTCAGGGTAGGAAAATGGTTCCACACTTGTCTGTAAAGATAGCAGCACTGGCTCGATACATCGATAGGACAACGCGAGCCAAAAGCCAGATATGCATTCAATCGACTCTAGCGATGCTTAATGAAGCCGAATGCATGGCACATCCTTCAGGGATTGATCAACGTCGAGAGCTTTATCCTTTATTATTTTTATGTATGTACATACATACGTATGCATATATGAATATATATAAATGTACATGTATGCACATATACATGTGTATATAATGTAATATATGAATGCTTTCAGGTGCTGAATCTATACAATGCCCCTCCTGAAAGTTCGGGAAGTCTAACTACAGGTGGCACGGAATCTATAATTCTAGCCTGCATGGCCTATAGAAATCGGTTGGTCTTTTATTGACAATTTCTTCGAAAAGAAAATCGCTTGGATTTATTGCATATAGTACCGACTAGTTATAGGGCTTTTCAAATGGGTATTCGAAGACCTGTAATAGTTTGTGCTAAAACTGCTCACGCCGCATTTGACAAGGTAAATTAGACTGTACAACATGTGTACTGTTTGGCGAAGGAGCCTTCAGATATTAGTTCTTACAATTTCCCACGAATTTAGGCTGCGTTCTTATGTGGTATGCGCATTCGGCACATATCTGTTGATAAAAGCAATCGAGTAGATTTGCGGACTATGGAAAAAGCGATTGACTCTCAAGTTTGCATGGCAAGTGGTGTAATTGTTGAGAAATTGACATCCACAAGGTATTTAAAAAAGTTCATTGTGGAATATACAGAATCCGGGCCAAGCGCAGATTTTTCGCAGGAGTACTGGCGTTTTGACAGGGCATTTGACGGAGTTTGTTCAACAATAGATAACGTTTTGATCATAATATGTTACTATATAACAAAATCCACGCATCTCCCTTAGAAGGATCTCATGCCAGTTAATCGCCAGGTGATGTGGCGCGTCCCTAGGTTGTTGATAGAGGTTTAGTGCAGAACAAAAGCGACCTTGTGCTTCCCTGAGACGCAGTTAGATCCATGGGATAGACTCCGTTTCTGCAGCGGTGATATGGCATATATCTTCTGTATTTGCGAAGACGTATTCATAAATGCATGCATGGTTGTGTTGTCGTCTATTCGGATTGTATTTTATGAGTCAGTTTGGCCAAAAGCCTGCAATCGGGGAAGGGAAGTACGAGGAAAGTGGTTACGAGTCGCCTCTAATAAACAAGCTCTCCGATTGCTCTGCAACGACTGGCAAGCTACCAGTGGTTATACCCAGCCCTCACTTTCAGACCTCAGCAAACTATACATGGGTTTCAAAAGCTGAACACAGTAAAATAAACGGGGTTCATTTTCCTAACCCTGAAAGAGCCCCCGACTACGCAGCCTTGGGTAAAACGACTACGCAGAGGCTACCAAAAACCTCAGGGCCATTCTAAGCTGCCTAAATCACAAAGGAGTAAAATGGCAATCTGTGCCAACAATGCACACACACTTTCATCTGAGTCCTCGATAGAAGATTTGATCATGCAAGCAAGAAGAATATAACACGACGTCACCGGACTGGCTAAGACGAGAAGACGCCGCTCATTCAACGCCGTCTATGAGACCTGAGAAGAAATACTCCTCGGAACAAGAAGATAGCGGAGGAGTTGGCGGCGACAGCGCACTGATCAACACGAGTTTAGCCATAAACATTGATTCATTACAACCCAAATCGGATGTTACTGTTGAAGACATGCGGATCTATACTGGCTTTGATAATTTTCGTGGTCTATATACTAACATCAAACTATGACGAAGACGAAGTCGAGTCGTTCTATACTGACTAAGATAAGTTCTACAAAGAAGATCATACATTCTTCCAGGTCCCAATCGGAAATTTTAACGCTAATTTTGAACCTAAAAGAATGTCTGAGGAACGTTGCGTAGGGACCCACGGAATAGAATGGAAGAGCAGCTGTCTGAGTTTATCATGATGACCAAGACCATTAATGGTAGCTCGCAATTCCAGAAGCCCCACCCTCAACAATGATCGTGGGAGTCTTTCATTTGAAGGTACCATTACGAAATAGAGCACATCACGGTATACCGAAAGTTTTGCCTAATCGATGTCGCTGTTGTCCCGAAATTCTACACAGGATCGGACCATCGCCTCCCGCGTACAAGATTTCACTTCTTGCGAAAAGGGAAATAAGCGTTAAATTTAAAGAACGAAGTCCTAAAACTACCATAAACAGGAATTTCTTCAGACCATTGGTCCACTCTTGGGATTATGCCGTAATTGATAACATGGATGAGGAATACGACCTGCTTGTTCAACATACTCACGTTAGCACTATGAAAGCTAAGAGTTCGAAAGTCACCAAGAGACGTTTGTCTATAAAAACACTCGAGCTGATACGCCAGCGTGGAATCGCACGAGCTGCAGGCAACCGCGAACTAACGTCCGAACTTGGAAACAATGCAGACAGGCGATAAAAGAAGATCTTAGAGAGAGAAGAGCAACAGTAATGGTCGAAGCTGCAGAGATGGGGAAAGAATTCGCAAAGCCCACCGATTCTTCGCCAATTACAAGACCAAGATGATTGCACTCCGACGCCCAGACGGAACAGTTATAGCGTCCAGAAAGACAATGGAGAAAATCATTCACAAATACTACTCGGATCTCTTCGATAGCCACGTCCACCTTCCGTCATATGAAATAAAGGAGGATGGATATGTTGCACCACTGGTTCTCCTTTCCGAAATCCGACATGCTATTCCGTCGTCCAATCCTCGTAAACACACTGGCTCGGCTCTTCACACGTTACTAGTCAAAATGCAAGGTTCCAACTCAGTGAAAGGCGACAAGGACCATGTCTTTGTTCAAGAATTGTGACCTCCACGATGTCAGCAAGTATCGCTCAATCAGCGTGATGTCTCTAGTCAACAAGTTCCACTGGAGTAGCCTTAAGCAGGATTGACAGAACACTGAATGTAGGACAGTCATGTGAGGATTTAATTGGTTGAGTTAAGGATAATCCTCATGATATGCAGTATTAGATGATTTTGCGAAATCGAAGAGGTTGTTGTTCAAATCTTTTAAGCCTGCACTAGACTTCAACTCATTGCTTGCTAGTTCTTCCACACTAGTTTGATGATAAATGATTCGTAATAGGAACTTTCGAGAATGTTTACTTGTTGAGTATCATTCTATTTATATGAATTACTTACAGATCAGAAATTGAAATTTCTTATTCTGTTTATTGCAGCTGGTCGCCTCAGCTCCAAACTTCCCTTCTGGAACAGTAGATCCTGTCCCAGATGTTGCAGTGGTATTCTTTTAGCTTAAGTTATCAAGACTATTGTACTCTAGAGTAATTTCGAGCTTTCAGTTGGGACAGAAATACAACATTCCGGTCCACGTCGATGCTTGTCTTGGCGGTTTCCTTATTCCATTCATGAATGATTGTGGCTTTGACATCCCAGTTTTTGATTTCCGTAATCCTGGTGTTACAAGCATCAGTTGTGACACTCACAAGGTATATGAGTTGATGTTATTTCGTTCTACTGAGAGAAAGTATACGAGACGTCAGTTGCGATTATACAGCTGCGTTCGGCCCAGTTCTTTCGAAAGATATTACGTAATCCGAATTCTCATTCGTTTTCTTTGGATGGAGAACAGAATTCAAGCACAGAATTCACCGTGTTTATGCGGTGGTTCGGGCGTATAATTGTAATATTCACATCCACATTTAGGTTTTTTGATGGCCCATCTTTACGGCAGTAATCAATACTACAAAGTTCCTAATTTCTCTTTGTAATTTATTGAATTGATTGATCCGAAATATAAAAATACTGATTTAGTATGGATGCACACCGAAAGGTAGTTCCATTGTGATGTACCGATCGAAAGAACTTATCCATTATCAATATTTCTCAATTCCTGATTGGACTGGTGGCATATATGCGACACCGACCATATGTGGTAAGTAATATCGTGATCTGAACACATGAACTGGTTGTACAACTGAGAAACTCAAGATGTACTTTGCAGGAAGCCGTGCAGGAGCGAATTCGGCTGTAGCTTGGACCACTCTTTTGTTTTTTGGTAAAAACGAGTATCGCAAAAGGTGTGCCGCAATTATTTCCAACACAAGGAAGATTGCAGCTGGCATTGAGAAGATTTCTGGTCTCGAGGGAAGTATTGCACTGAATTACAATAGTCCTTAATCATGGAGACTGAAAAGAAAGAAAGAAAAGAAAAAAGAAAAAAAGAAAGAAAGGAAAAATAAATGAGGAAAATTGCTTGTAAGTGAGGGCGTGAATTTCCCGTATTGGAGAGATTGTTTTTAGTTACTCGGTTCTCCCGATGTGTCGGTTGTTGCATTTAAGAGTTCGTCGTTCAACATTTATGCTATCAGTGACAAAATGAGTACAAGAGGATGGAACTTAAATACGCTTCAAAATCCAAATGCGTAGGTCTCGTCATTTTCGATTAAGACTCAGTTTCTCCACCTTCATAGACTTCACTAATTTTAAAAATTGCAGCATTCATATATGTCTGACCTACAACCACGCTAGACAAGAAGTAGTGGACGCATTTTTAAAGGATCTCAAGGAGGTAGTTGATGAAATAAATGCTAGCAGCGACAAAGGGAACACTAGTAATACGGTAAACGAAATAGATACTCTTATGGTGTTTTTACTTCGAATATCTTCAGTTTTAAGGCGGCTCTATATGGTATGGCTGCTCAAATTCCCGACAAGTCCCTCGTTGATGAGATTACGTACGGATTCCTTGATGCTTGTTACGCAGAACCACCGCAGTACTAGTCTGCTTCTATAACGACTTTGTTACAACGCCGTTATTACGAATGTTATTAAGTTTTTATAACGATGTTTTCTCGTTAAATGAATGATGTTCACCGCTTGCAGTCCAATGTAAATGATCTCCACTCGTATATGGACAAGATCGGCGGATATGAATTCATCTCATCGCATTATCTATCTCTCGCTCATTTTATCCCATAGAGTTTTCTGCTCCACGGCATTCGTATTCAGTCGATATCTTACCCAATACAAAGTATCCAACCACGTATAGAACCAGAAAAGCTATTTCCTACACTTATCAATGCATAAGAAACTGTCTTTCGAACACATTTCTTATCAAACAACAGAGTTTATTGTTGGCGAAGAAGGCACAAGAATAACGAGAGTATAATAGATGAAAAAGGTGGGACATGAGGCGTCTATACCTTATACGTAAATCTCGCAACAAATAGTTGCTTGGATTTAGTAGCAGTCGAAGCGTTCTATTTATGATGCCTCATACATAGTGTGGCATACCGGCTAGCATGAGTTGATTTCAAGTCGAACATGCTTTATCCCTCTAGCAATCATGTTACTGTCAGCATTTGGAAGTGTTTTGCATCTTATATTGAGTCTGCTTCTATATTTTTTTATGCCGCCCATATTACCGGTCAAATTATCAGTGAATGAACCATGTGGAAATGAATTTTCAGCATATTTCCAGGTGCAGAATAGAGCTTCTCTCGGCTAATGCCCGTCACGACATCTGTGCTGGACTAGCTGCCGAATTATTACAAGAATTGTGGCAAAAAGCTCTATACGACAAAAGAAGCGAAGTAGAAGATGAGTGGTACTTGAGTCATCTCGGCCAGTTTCACTGATAATTTGTGATTGATTCATTCCGTACCCAATCTTTTATGTCGATTATACAGTAGCGAGTCAATAAAGTCTATATTTTAGAATGAGTTTACTTATTCACGTTGTTTAATCTTCGTTCAACAACTATATCAAAAGCACACTGTCTCTTTTGTATAAATGCTTACGATAGCGTAGAAATAACAGAGTATTCGACTGTTCTTCTCTAGTATTGCCTTAACAATTTCATTATCGTAGGGATCGGAACAAACTACACTGATGATTAATCCTATTATTATATTACCTGGATACTTGGATAGCCTGTCTTCACTGATTGTGGGGCGCTAGCACAATTTCCACTTTTTCGGAGTTTTGCTGGTTTAGCTCGCGTGGTTCTCTGGAATCCTGAGGTCAGCCTAGCTAGAGTTTGGCCGAGGTCGTTACCACCGCAGGCAGACACCTGCGGTGTAGAGTTTTGCAAATATTTCAGCATCGTTGCAGTTAAATTGTTACCATTATTAGGATGAAATGTAATAAAAGTGGAAGTTGTCAAGTCAGAATTTGGATTTTCTACCTAGATATGGGTACGCTTCGAGCATTTAGATGCACTACATTAGTTCCTTATCTAAACTCAAGTTAATAATCACAGTATAATAATCAGTATAATCACAATGATGCCAAGATATTTGCGAAACTCCGGACCACAGGTGTCAGCGGTGAGGACGCTATTACCCTTTCCGGGGCCAACGCGTTCACCACTACACCATGCGCGTCCTTTATTTCGCCATTCTCTCAGATAGTTTTCTATCTACCAGTTCCATCAGCAATCACCCGTCAACAGGATTAATCTGGAGAGCACAAATAGGCATTGAACCCAGTTAGGCTGAAGCTGTTGTATAGTTGTATAGCAGGTTGTATATTTAGAAGCTGATCTAAGAAATCATTGTTTCTAAGTCCTAATAAAAATTCTCGGTTTTGTCTTGGTACAAAAGGTCTGCCAAGCTTAACCACTTCGCCAACCAACCGACACTTTTCTTGCAGGCAATTTTGGAAATATCATTATACGGGACCAGCAGTGGATTAGACATTTATAATTCTACTTTCTGGGAGCCCATGTAGTGCTGTGGTCGAAGGCGCCATGTGGTACACACGGAATAGATCCTCGCATTCCACCCCCACCAAATCTTACATCTCTCCGGGGTCAGAAAATTGCAGACTTGTCTGGGAGGACAGCAGAACTGGCGCGATACATCGGTAGGCCACCGCGAGACACTGTATAGGCCAGATACGCATTCACTGACCCCCAACGATGCTTAATGAAGTCGAATGCATGGCGCTCTCTCAGGGATTGATCAACGCCGAGCTTTCAATGTTCTTGCAGAATGTTATTACGGTTATGCTTGCGGAACGTTCTTCTTGCCACACGCCATTTCTCAGCCAAACCGACGCTGTCTCCAGAGCCTCGGTTTAGTCATTCAGCAACCTCACAGAAAGCGGCTCTGAAGAAGGTGAAATCCGCCGAAACGTCAGCTTAATCATAAACAAAGAATAGTAACACCTCGCCTTTGCTCAACAAAAATACGACGCAAGTATCTAAGTTGGCCTTATAGATGAATTGTAAATAAGCCTTTCATTATTTTATCTTCCTTCATAATTCGTTTCGAAGCCATGCAGGGTCGCAAACGTGGTGCAGGTGTTGCACAAACACCATACAGATTCGATTACTACACAACTGATGAATTCAATAACAAGAAGTTGCTGTCTGCGATCGGAAGTCTTGTTGTGTTCATAGCCTACTTTGCGTACTTGAGGCAAGTCATTTAATATTCTTCGGATTCTATGCTTTAAGAGCTCGTTCATGGTCGTCTTTCACAGGGAACCATCAGACTTGGACGAGATCTGGACCACTCCTCCTCATGTTTTGACTGCAAATTTCCAAAGAAAGATGCTTCGTGAGCAAATTAAACAGGTACATCGGCAACCTTCTTGTTCTTTCATCTCATCCTTATCAATTTGAGCCATCGTGTTTTAAACATGCATTTACAGGCTGAAGCGAAAGGTCAAGACACGACTCTTTT